ATACAAGTAAATAATATAATATAAATAAATATTATAATAAATATTGAATAAATATTTTTAATATTAAGGTATATCAAAATATTTGTTTCATTACATTTTATTATACCCATATGTATATTATTTATTATTTTAATATAATACATCAAATGTAAATATATGTATAAAATATTTATATCAAAATTATATTTATATTGTTGTTTTGTTTCCTTCACTAAATATTGAATACAAAATATAATTTATATTTAAATTAATATATCATTTCATTAATATATAATGATTAATTTAATTAAATATGATAATATAATATATGTTATGGAAAATATAAAACTTGTTTATATGTAAACAATATAAAAATGTATATAGAAACTGCAATATAAAATAAATATACTGTGAAGAGGATGTGTATATATATATATATATTTATTTATTTCTTTATTTAGAGGTATAAAATGATTTAAATACTTGAAGAAAAAAAATATTTTTACTTAACTAAAAAATAAAATGTACGTTTTATTTATATATATATATATATATATATATTTATTTATTTTTATTTTTTTTTATTTTTATTGCTTACAATACAATTTTTAAATGCATAAAATATATTTATATTCTTTACATTTTTATCATTTTTAATACATATAAAAGTAGATAACAAAATGTAAATGCATTTACTTAAAACCTAAATATAAACTGCATTGTAAACTCTGTAAAAATTGTAAATACATTATAATATAAATTAAAATGGTGTGTATTTTCATTGTAGCAGCAATTGTAAATAAAAAATAAATAATAATTTTCAGAAACTGGTTTGTAATATTTCACACAAATGAATATAATTTCTTGGTGTTTTATGAAAGCGAGAGTTTGAAACAAAATGAAGATTAAATGAAACGTTACAATGACACAATTTTCACGTCTGTTCAAACTGACTCGTGTGTCGATGATTAAGCACTTTAAAGGATTTCAGCGCTGTTTTTGCATTTCCCGCAGAGTTTCGTTTGCCGCCGCGCCGCAGGACGAAGGGGAAACCAACGGGAACGAGTTAATCGTCGAACTGGAAGGAAAAGACGAGAAGAAAGAGCGCGAGACCAACATGTGGTTCAGCAAGGTGTGACTCGCTCATTTAGACTAACGTGAATCCGTAAAACCATGTTAGGCCAGATTTTAACGATTAATTCTCCGCACAGGACATCTTTTCAGAGCTGGATCTGGACGACGACACAGACGCCATGAGTGAACTGAGACAAACCCAGCTGCTGCAGTCTGGGAAGGGCAAAAAGAGGAAAGCGGAGGCGGAGCCCATCTCACAGAAACAGGAAGTGGCTGCGCCCTCACAGGAAGTGAAAAAGGCTCAAGACGACAGCGACTCCGATGATGACAGCAGCGATGATGATGGTGATGATGAGAGGTGACATTTATATAGTCGTCTACATTAGTGCAAAGCAGAATCATATGCATTCTCCCGGAAAAATACGAACATGTATTATTTATTTATTTATTTTATTAACAGGGAAATTGCGCAAATGAAACACGCTTCGGCGGCCGTCGGCACGAGAGGAGTGGCTGATGAGGACGAAGACTTTCAAGTTGTTCCTGTGGAAAAAACAAGTCAGTTAAGAATTATATTCAACATTTGACATCATCAGAGAATTATATTTATATTTATTATATTATACTTCGGTCATTTTTGGTTCATTTTTTTTTTTTTTTTTTTTATGGTACGAAACTTGGTAAACGTACTGTTTGAACACTCAAAAAAATCATTGATTCGCCTGAACCTGATTCGCACAGGTTAAATGTTCCTGAAAACAATAATCAGTCAAAAATGAGCGGAATGGCGGAAAATGGAAATAAATGGGAGATGAATTTATCTAGCCACTCTAGTGGAAGCGTTTGGTACTGCAGCCAAACAACATCTCACTGGAAGCTCATTTTTATCAAGCTCAAATTTTGAACAACTTTAGATTTAGATTTTCTTTAAAAAGCTGCTTTTTTTAACTCCATACGACCGTTTCTTCAGACCTTGCCGTGGAAAATGTTACGGATTTTGTTTTGATAATCTAAACTATTTTCATGTCGACGAATTTGAGGCTGTATCTTTGGAGAGATTTGACATTATTACACTAAACTTTGTGTAATTGTCACCCAGCACTGATCACAACAGATCACTTTAGTGTCAGCGCCACCTATTGGTCAGAAGTAATATTGTGACGTTACAAGTTATTGTAACGTCGGTGTGTGAATGAGCGTATGAATGGGTGAATGTGAGGCAATATGTAAAGCGCTTTGGTGGCCATTAGGTCTATGAAGGCGCTATATAAATGCAGTCCATTTACCATTTACCATCGGCTTCCAACTGTTTTGCTTAAAATCATCTCTGTCTTGATTGTTTCAGTTGATCTGACGCTCCATGCTTTGATTGTTAGCATTTCATTCTGCCTGTGTTATTTGTTGCTTGCAGCTATATTTAATTTGTGTAATTATTTTTTGTTTCGCAGATAAACGTGCTCGTATTCTTAATGCAGAGGGTTTGGCACTTGGTGCTCAGATCGCCACATCCAAAAGGAGAACGCGAGACCTAATCGACGGCTCCTTCCACAGGTAATAGCGAAGACGGCGGTTAGCCTCTGCATTAGCTGCGAGTTTGAGCTAATAAAGTCGTCTTCGTGCTGTTCTTGAAGGTATGCGAACTCTGAGGACATGACCGAAGTTCCCGCCTGGCTTTTTGACGATGAAAAGAAGCACCGGAAGAGGCCTGTTCCTGTAACCAAAGACATGGTGGAGGAATACAAGCAGAAATGGCGGGAAATCAACGCCCGTCCCATCAAACGCGTGGCAGAGGCCAAAGCCCGCAAGAAGAGACGGGTAAGAGTTCTCAGAGGAGAGATGATGTCAGCGGCTTTCAGCAGATGTTTAGTTTTCTTATTTTATATATAAAAAAAATGTAAACATCCTTTAAATATAAAATTATATCTATTCTAATAATAAAAAAAATGAAAATCATAAGAATGTTTTAATATATAATTATTAATTTCCTCTTATGGAATTTAAGCCATTAATATTATTAAATAGAAAAATATAATATTGTGATATTTATTAATATTTTTTATCGATATACAGAGTATTTTTTAACTTTAAAAGATTGTTATAAAATATTTTCTTATTGAACATTACGATTTTAATTTAATTATTTAGCTAATATTTTAAAACAATATACATTTTAATATAACATACTGTATTTTTTATTGATATCTAGAATTTGTTATTTACAAAATTTAAATGTATTATATTATAATATATTTTGTATTTCTAATTATATTAATATTTCTATTTGTAGAATAGTAATAGTACATTTTATGAATATTTAATTTTTTTGTAAACATCTTTTATATATAAAAATATTTTATCAATAATATATTGACATTATTTTTCACTTGTGAATTCATTTTTTTTATTTATTTTATGGTTGTCAAATAAAATACTGTATTTTATTATTAATTTTATTGGTGTTATTTTTTAATGTTTTAATCTATCAAATAAAATATGGATTTATTGTTATGAAAAGTTATCCAGTGGAAAATGGTAATGAAAAACTAAACAAATGTACACTGACTTTAAACTGAATATGGCCTTTAAATGCATATTTTCTTGTCGTAGACGATGAAGAAGTTGGAGCAGGCCAAGAAAAAGGCCGAAGCCGTCGTGAACACGGTGGATATTTCAGAGCGAGAGAAAATGGCGCAGCTCAAAAGGTCAGTCTCGGCATCGACGCGTCAGCTACTTTTCACGTTCAACTCATGAAGACTAATCTTGACTTTTCTTTGTTCGCAGCATCTACAAAAAGGCCGGCGTGGGAAAAGAGAAGCAGGACGTCACGTATATTGTGGCCAAGAAGGGCGTCGGGCGTAAAGTGAGGCGTCCAGCCGGACTCAAGGGCGTTTTCCGTGTGGTTGATGGACGGATGAAGAAAGACACGAGAGCCGCGCAGAGGAAAGACGACAAGAAGCGTGGGAAAGGAGGGCGGGGCAATAAAGCTGGGCGGGGCAATAAAGCTGGGCGGGGCATGAAGGCGGGAAAAGGGCGTCCAAAGAAGTGAGTGATGCCCCTCGCGCCCTCGAACGGATTGTTCATTTAGCTAGCTGTGTCGTACTGATTGGATTATTAGCGCATATGCTAATATTCTGTTCCAGCCTCTTGTTAGCAACAACATGTTTTGCTTGGACTTTGACACACTTGATTATAAATAAGGGACTGAACCTTTAGACCAATCAGACATGGCTCCAACCGCTGGTGTTTTTCAGCACTGGTGTAATGCTGCGTGTTTTGATGTTTAACATATACTTTGTGGTATATGAACTTCAGGTGTATATAGGGTAACCTCCTGATTTTTGTGGATTAATTATGCTCATGTATGTGCAAAAAAAAGATCTGCTTGGATTATCAGTGACTTTTAATAAATACAAATTTAAATTGACAAATTGTGTCTTGGTAAATCATAGTAAATTTACATTTTATTTAAGTATATATGGGTGTATCTTTTGCATCCACATATATTTGGATACTAGGTAACTATATCTGGACAAACTAGCTATGCTAAATCTATCACAATAGTTTTAAAATGTTGAGAAGAGTTTTTCAGTTCCTTGCCACTGTTCACTGCTCAGTTGGGGATATTCAAATTAATTAACCAATCAGTAATACCCTTGATCAGCTCTACCAAACACTGATGTTTTTTCCACTAAGAAAGGAACATTATGTTTTGATTCATACTGTGAAGCTCCTTTGATGCAACTTGACTTGAATCTGCACATGTGATTCCTATATAATTAACAATTATTGGTTCACTAAAACTTGTGGAAATTGTATGGCGATGTGCGGGTGAGGTTTTTTGATCCTTCAAACCCAAATCTAGGAGTATTTCTGGATCGATTTGACCTGTGAGGGAGGCCTGGTCGCGCGAGCGTCGACGCGCGTCACGAAACGTCCCACGCCGCGGGAAACGGTGACGCAGAAGAAGACTGGAGGGATTGTGAGGAGAGGAGAGGGAGATAATGGGTAAACGAGATGGAGAGAATGGGTAAACAAGAGGACGATATGCAGAGAAAGATGATTACCTCACATCTCGCATGTCTGACTGGATGATTCGCCCTATTGTGGCGGGAACAATAACGGTCGCCGTGCGTGGTGGGTTTAAAACCCCAGAGGCGCGAGGACAGCGCGCAATCTTCGCGGGAGACGAACCGCCAGAGAGGTACATGAAGCTAGATTTGATGTGATTAAATGGTTTGAAACTTATTACACCAACTTAATGATGTTTTATAGCGTACATAAAAAGCACGATCTGTGACTTTTTGTGGAAATATTATGCTTTTGCTAATGTTTTGATCATCGCACTTGTGTTTAAATTTAAACAAAAGCCTTGTTTGTTCTGTTCATTTGCAATGCATTTAATGGCACATTTAGTGAGATTCGTCATGAATGGCTCTGTTATTTTCTCCTCTGAATGACTAGTTTGTGTGTTGGCAGCGTCCTAGCTCGAGTTTGAAATGTGCTGCGCACACGATTCGCATTCAAAACGCTCGTATGCATATATTATAAACAGATGAAGCTTGATTGATCGGCTCGATTCGAGCCAAATGCTGATGCCGCTGAACTTCTATTGTTCACATCCTGTCAAAACGTTTCTATTTATAAAAAGTTTAAGGCACTTTTTCTAATGCTGTTTTACTTTTACAAAAGTGGCATCAGTAATATAGAGATCTTTAGACAACTTTAGATATCTTTATCTTTAGATGAGTATTATTAGAAGCAAAATAAATAAATAAATATATTTTTAATACGCTTGTTTTAAAATTTAATGATAAAATTTAAAATACTTATTAACATCGTATTATATTTTTAAATTAAATGATACGTTATATCATTAGAAATAAAAAAAAACAATCATAAATATTTTATTCTATAACAAGCTTTGATGTATGTTGTGCTTTGAAAAAATACATAAAGTTAATTGCTCATATGATGATTGATAAGTTGTTGTTAAAGTTATGGTTTTATTTTTCATTAGTATTATCATTTTTATTGTTAACTAATTTACATTTTATTGCGTATATTGTTTTATATTTATTTAAAAAATTACATTTAATTTATCCTTTAATTTATTATTAGTATTCATTTAGATTGTTGTTAATAATTATATTAATTTAACTTTCATATTATTAATAATAATAATAGGAAAAAGTCATTTTCATTTTATTTTATATTATTATTGAAATGTTGTACATTTATTATAAAAATATATATGAATTTATCATAAAGTATTTTTATCAAACATTTAGGTTTATTAATATATTAACTTTTTTTTATCATTGTTGCTTATATTGTATGTTATTTTATTAAACTTATAACTGTAATTGTCCTATTATTTAACTGTTCTATTAGTAATACTAATATTAATAATTTACATTTTTATTTGTGTTTATTATATTAACATTTGCACTTTGTTATATTATTAGTATTTATATGTTGTAGATTTATTATAAAAATATAAGATTAATTGATCCGATAACTTATTATTTCAAATTTGTTTTGCATAATCATATATCAATGTTGTAGAATATATTGTATTAGAAAGATTATAAATGTAATTTTACAATAATTTATTATTATTATTGAAAATCTGAAATAATCTAATTATATTAGTTCACTTTTTTATTAACAAATTATAGTAACAATGGTATTTTTTTCCGTAATGTATATTTTAAAGTGTTTATCAGGAGAGGAATGAATAAGCTGAACAATATTTTCGAAGAAAGTACAAATGTAATGTTTGCCAAATGTTGTTAGGTGTAACGAGGAGTCAGCAGAAGTGGGATCCATGTGCGGTTTTACTGTAGACAGTAGGAGAACAATGGGCAGAGCTAAATCACCAGCAACAGAGATATCAAAGACCAGGCAGAAACGCAACGACACGACAGGCGATGGATCAGGCCGGCAAACAGGGTCAATCCAGATAAACAGGCAGAAGATCAGATGGGCACGGGAAGGTACGGGTTAAACAGTCCAAGGTCCAACACAAGAGATCAGTTTACTAGGAATATGGCAAGAACAAGACTTCATAGTGTGTGTGTCTATGTGACATAAATAGTCCATGGGATGGGGATCAGGTGTGAGGGCAATCAGCACCAGGCACAGAATTATGGGAAACGTAGTCGGTGGGGTTTTGCTGGTGATTTAAGGTGAAACTTTAGGCCCGAGTGTCAGAGGTTTGATTGACAGCATTAATGCTGTAGCGTGTGTGTTTACCGTGTGTGTTTGTGCAGGACGCTCTCATTGATGGTGTTCACTCTGGTAAGCGGGGCCTCACTGTGTGGTGTGGTGGCCCTCGTGCTCCTCATCATCTCCACAGCAACAGACTATTGGATGCAGTATCGCTACTCAGGGAACGCAGCCAATCAGGGCCTCTGGAGGTTCTGCATCAATCGCAAGTGCCACACCCACACGCTCAACGTGGGTAAGGACAGTCAGCCGCATCACACCCGCTTACACTACAGAACACTTGCAAAAATGACAAATTAATTATATATATATTTTTTTTATCCGTATCCTTCTGGGTTGGTCCAAATTTCATTTTTCAAAAATATAATTTCATGTCATGTTCTATAAAAATATAAAAAAGCAATATATATATAAATTCATTTTATTTTTTTAAATATGTTGTGTATAATTTGCAAGAATACTTAGTTCATAGTTCTATGTAAACTTAAAATACTTTAATTAATTGTTTTTTTTTTTCATCAAAACATAATTGTATTTCATATTCTATGAAAAAAAGGGTTAATATTTTGTTTTCAAAAAAAACATACTTGCATATGTTCTTCGACAATAACAAAAAATACATACTTTTAACTTAAGTAATCTTTATCTATCTGGTTTTGGCGATATTGGTAAAGAATGTTATTATTTTCTTATTATAAAATACATTTTTATACATTAAGTATCTATGACAATTGCAAAAAATACCAAACAATCCATCATACATCAATTGTTTTCATACAGCAGTTTATAGATTCCCCCAGAATGCTCTGAACCCGTTTAACCAAAGTGTGTGTTTCCGCCCCGCAGCATTCTGGGACGCCACGCGGGCCTTCATGCTGCTGTCGCTGCTGGGTTGTTTCGCTGGAGTTCTTCTGAGCGTCACTGCGCCTAAACGAGGCCGAAGCAAACGAGTGCGGGCCGGAGGAGTCGCTCTGCTTCTGTCCGGTGACCAAACCCTCATCCTTCCCGCACTAACATTATACTTCATTTTACATTTTGAGAATATTTTTTCCTTTTTTTTATGCAAATTTATTAACTGTTAAATTACTACATTTATTTAATAAAATAATTAGTAGTCATTTAAGCACAATCCTCACATTCGTGTAACTTTAACTCACAATTTAATGCACAACCGAAAAAAACATTTTTCACTTCACTTCAGTATGCATTCAGCTAATTTTGTTTTAGCATTTTTAGGCGTGTCTGTGTACTGAAGCATTCCTCTTACTATGGGGGTCAAACTGACCCACGAGTGGAGGATTTGTTACTTTTTGAAATTAAAAAAAATGTGAAGAAAAAACATTCCAGGGTCAAAATGACCCGAGGGAAGGATGAGGATTAATTAGTTGAACGTGATTCTGTGACGTCGGCAGCCGTGACGTGTCGTTTAGCAGTGATGTCATTGCTGTTTTCCCGCAGGATTTCTCGCGCTCTTGGCTCTGGCGATCTACACCGGGATGACCGTCAACTTCTTCGGGAAGCGCTACATCGGCTGGAGGTTCTCGTGGTCGTATATTCTGGGATGGATCGGCACCATACTGGCTCTGGCAGCAGGTCAAATATCCTTTTGCACATCTAATTTAAAGAATATTGGAATAAAATGTTGCACTCCTGTTTTTTTTATATGGAAAATAAATACGATAATAATGGGTAATATAATAAAATTACTTATCTTTTGAACTAGTCATAGCAAATACTATGGAATGCCGAGTTCACACTGAGCGGTGCTCGTTCACGCGAGTGTGAGTTATCAAAGACGCGATCTGAGGGACGATAAATCCTGCTGTGTGAGCGTGTTCTGACTGAAAGCTACATCAGCGACCAACCATGACCGACAGCCAATGAGAGAGCAGTTATAGACCTCAATATCAGTATTTTAATAGATATAGCAGCACAATGCAAAATGATTCATTCACCTCCAACTCTCTTTGCAGAACACACTCTCCTTGCTCCCCTCGTCTCCTCCACCATTCCCTCCTGCATTAGCTGGGTCTTTTCCTCCTTTTTCAACATTTTTAATAACAATTTCATTCCGATCTTGCGTTATTTCCTCATAACTTCTCGTGTGTTCGGTTGTGAAACGTAGTTTGCTGAACAGACACTCGCAGCGATTCTTTTTTTCTTAAATCATGCGGGGTAAACCCCGTTGCTGAACAATCGCGCGGTGTGAATTTGGCATAAGCTTATGTTTACGCGAAAATAGTAAAGATCATTTGATTGAGCGAAAGCCCCTTTGATTCAATGATTCATTTGAATTTTTATTCTGAGTTTCGTTTGTTTCACTTCAAATAACAAGTCGATTCAGGCTATTTGAAACCTTTAGGAATCAATTCATTAAATCAGTCGGTTGGATAAATGGAACTGACCATTTTTGCAACTGAAGTTTACATTTCAAATGCAATTTGTAATTAAGAGTTTGATAAAAAAAAAAACATTTATTTTATATTTGTGATTAGAATGGTCAAAATGCATAAAACGGTTTAAGTTTTTAGTTGGAAATGCCCCCTCTGAGTTATGATGCAATCGAATAATTGAATCAAAGTTGTAAATTGGTGAATCTACTCAACCGAATCGACTCGTCGATTCAAACGAACCGATTCCGTGAGTCGTATGATTCGTCACCAACTTCTAAACAGCGTTTTAGTCGTTTTCGCTGATCCGTGTAAATGCAAAAAATGTAAAAGAAACATGTTGTTGCGTAAATCTCTGTCTTCTCTGTATTCCAGGAGTTCTTCAGCTCTGTGCTTATCAGAGAAGCTTCAGTGAAGCGCCACCTGTTACTGTCTCTGACAGCTGAACCCTGATCATCACAAAACACTGAGCGCTGCAATCCTGGAGGAAATAAACTGCGTTTGGACTCTTCTTGGTGCATGTTTTATTTTTCCAACAGAACTGATGGTGCAACATTTAGTCATTGACAGGTTAAAAGGCGTACACACACAACACCATCTGATGAGGAACATATGATGATGTTCAGCACACAGGTACTCATCAATATGTTCACAAACACATTAGTAAACATCGTTAACAAAGGTTTCAAAAGTATCCACAAAACACCCCTGTATTACTGTATAAGTTTGTCTTTTTAATTAAGTTTATATGCAAAAAGAAATGGGGAGATTTACAGCGTTTATAATCTTAAATAATCTTAATTTTATATACATTTGATGTAAATAAACTTAAAAGTTGAATATAAAATGTGTATTATGAAATAAAACTAGTGTTAATATTGCTTTAATTTAACAAATGTTTGCTAAAGTCAGTGTTTGATGAAACTGGCTGATATTAAAAATATAAAGATTATTCTAAAATTTTCTTTAAAAAAGTTGATTGCATTCAGAGTCAAAAATACACAGTTGTGGGTTGATAATATTCATTGATAGTGTTGTCAAATGTCACTGATATTTTCGTCATGTTTATGTTAATAAAAATTAAGTTTAACTTATTAAAAATATTTAACGCAATTAACGTTTAAAATATAGCCTTCTGCATTATTTTGGATATTCAATGTTCAAGTATGACCATATAAAAATATATTAAAAACAGTAATGTTCGATGTGATTAATTACACAAAAAAAACGTGATTAATTAAAAAAAATTGATTGACAATACTAATTCAAACTCAATGTTGAGTCATCGTGAAACCTTCCTATAATCACATTCATTTTCTTCATTCCTAGTTTTATTCGCGCGGCACAATTTCCACGATGTTTTGGTGGCAAAGTAATAACTGAAGCAGTCCAAAGCGCAGTTCATGCTCATCGCGAAGTGAACGAAATTATGCGCGATAAACTGCACGTCACAACTGTACTTATAAGCCTGTGCGATGTATTTAAACAAAAATCCGAAGTGAACGGGGAAAAAACACACGACGAACACAATCAGATTCGCCGCGATGATAAAAACGCAGTGGAGTTTCTCGCCGCGGGTTCCGATGTCCAACAGTTTCCTCAACGTGTAAATTACTCTAACTGAGCAAAACAGCATTATGAGGAACGGCACGAGGAACCTACGATGTCTAGGTTCGATGTCTATCACGAGGATAAACGCCAGCGGTAATTCCTCTTCTTTATTCTTCTGATAGCATTTTATCGTGTTGTTGTTATGCTTTGGATCGTCGACGCGATGAAATGCCGCGCTTAACGAGCACGTGACCAACCAAATGAGTGAGCAGACAACCAAAGCGTTCCTATGTGATAAAACTTCCCTTGTTTTCATTGGATACTTGATGGCCACATATCACACCACACTTATCGCAGTGACGGTGAAGATGCTCACGTACATGTTGACGTAATAAACCGACACCAGTACGTAACACAGCTCTTTATTGCAGTGGTCCCAGAGTGTGGAAAATTCCCATGTGTTTTCATAGTAGGACAGGATGCGGATGGGAAGAAGCATCAGCAGAATGCAGTCGGCGATGGCCATGTTGGTGATGTAGATGTTCATGTAGGTCCAGTCCGCTCTGGGACGCCGGCAGAACATCACCAGGATGTATGTGTTTCCCAGGACCCAGAGGATGAAGGTGGGAATCAGTGAGGCGAGCTGAAGGCTCTGGATGCCAGCGCTGATGTTTAGGGTGCAGTTAGACATCTTCAACCTGTGGGAAATTAAAATACACACTTTATAATTACACTTCCCAGACAGGAACATATAGTTATTTCAGAATAGCACACTTCAAGTTTACTAATAAATATAGCTGCGAGCAGCGATTGCGGGCCCAAGCCGGTAGTTACCTAAAGGCACCGGGGTGGCGGTGCCACCGGCTTTGGCCCTCATCGCTGCTCACAGCTATATTTATTTTTATATAGAAATGTATTTTCTTTATGCAGGTCATACACACAGCAGTGAAATGGTTAAGCCCCCTCCCCCTGCACACACACACAGACAGGCAAAGACACAGAGACATGTAGGCTCAGAGAAAGCATGACCACATTCAAACAAAAATATCTGACTTTCTGTGGGTCCTAGCTAATAAGTGTAAATTAGAAAGTTGTCCGTCTCGAAGAGTACAATATACATACCCATTTTTGTAACTCTAGATAAAACTAACAACCCCACTTTTGTCAAAAGGTGGTGCTACTGAGCCCTCACCACGCCCGTTTCTGAAACTTTGCACTGCTACTGGCTAATAAATGTGATGTGTCTGATGAGTTTCATGCAATTTGAAGCATGCTATGGGTCTCAAAAGCATCCTAAAAGAATGGTAAAGTTTGATGCGTTGCCACGGCAACAGTTTCAAAGATATCAAGAATCCATTCACAGGTCTACATGAAGTTTGAAGTTTGAAGCAAATCGGGTAAAATTAAAGGGTGATTTCAAAGCATTTTGAAAGTGACACACTTCCTGCTACCAGTTGGTGGCGCTATAACTTTGACTCACAATAGTCACATCCATGTGATCGTCCTCTTACAGCGAACACACTGCTGAAGTTTCATCAAGATCCGATGATGTATGCTGAAGTTATAACACACTTCCTGTTTCACGTTTCTCGCCATGATTTCGTTTCCTCACCACGGCCAAACCGTTCGAGATATCTAAAATCCCCACACAAGCTTTCATCCTCAATGTCTTGACTTCACGCTGACCGAGTTTCGTCGAATTTGGATCAAAGCTCTAGGAGGAGTATTTCACATTCCATTGTGTGTGTTTTACAAACAACCCTCAATAGCTGACTTCCTGTTGGGCTGGGGTAAAAAGTAAGAGTGTGAGGTATAGATGAAATGATGAGATCTTCATGTGTACCGAGTTTCATATTATTACATACAAGCGTGTTTGAGTTATGGACCAAGTGTTCGGACCCCTTTCCAGGGGGCGCTAGACTTAGACCTGAGTGCAAAAATGGAGTCTCTAGACACTCCGTGAGCTGAGATATGGAGATCCCACATAGCATTTATGCCATTATATGTCCAACATTTTCCCAACAAAAAATAAAAAAGGGGGGACCAACGTGTTACATAAATCCCCAGAAACTGCCTGAAGATCGGTTATGACGGCACACAACACACACATTTAGAGGCTTAAATACCTGGGAATGTTAAAGGATGTAAAGGCCAAACCAGGTGTTATCAGAATCCTGAAATTGACACGGATCCATCACAACATGTCTTCATATTAGGGACTGAAGTGAGTGTTGGCATTCAGGTGCTGGAGGAGTGGAGGAACGGATGTGAAGAGGACACAATCAACGCCAGCACGCATTAGTCCACATAAACACTGCTGGGCTTATTACACACAGCACTGATCTGGCACTGCACTACTGTGTACTAGACCAGACAGCAGGTGCACACACACAAACACACCGCAGTCAGTGTGTGAATCTCATCAAAACCAGATCCTGGTCACATTTCACCCCACAATATAAAGCAGAAAATATACAGACTTAGACCTGAGTGCAAAAATGGAGGCTCTAGACCCTTCCAGAGCTGAGATATTTATAATGGCATAAATGCTACATGGGATCTCAATATCTCAGCTCTGGAAGGGTCTAGATCCTCAATTTTTGCACTCAGGTCTAAGTCTCATGGCCCTCTATCAGAATCCAATGTTTTGAGAAGATTGGAGAAACTTCAGTTTTCGCCCGAAAAAAAAAAAAAACGTAAGGGGTAACACTGTCGTTTTTTTTCGGGTCGAAATTTTGAGTTTCGATATCTCAGCTCTGGAAGGGTCTAGAGCCTCCATTTTTGCGCTCAGGTGTAAGTCTCAGTGCCCTCTATCAGAATCCAGAGTTTCGAGAAGATTGGGGATACTTAATTTTTCGCCCAAAAAAAAAACGTAAGGGGTAACACTGTCGTTTTTTTTTCGGGTCGAAATTTTGAGTTTCGATATCTCAGCTCTGGAAGGGTCTAGAGCCTCCATTTTTGCGCTCAGGTGTAAGTCTCAGTGCCCTCTATCAGAATCCAGAGTTTCGAGAAGATTGGGGATACTTAATTTTTCGCCCAAAAAAAAAAACGTAAGGGGTAACACTGTCGTTTTTTTTTCGGGTCGAAATTTTGAGTTTCGATATCTCAGCTCTGGAAGGGTCTAGAGCCTCCATTTTTGCGCTCAGGTGTAAGTCTCAGTGCCCTCTATCAGAATCCAGAGTTTCGAGAAGATTGGGGATACTTAATTTTTCGCCCAAAAAAAAAAACGTAAGGGGTAACACTGTCGTTTTTTTTTCGGGTCGAAATTTTGAGTTTCGATATCTCAGCTCTGGAAGGGTCTAGAGCCTCCATTTTTGCACTCAGGTGTAAGTCTCAGTGCCCTCTATCAGAATCCAGAGTTTCGAGAAGATTGGGGATACTTAATTTTTCGCCCAAAAAAAAAAACGTAAGGGGTAACACTGTCGTTTTTTTTTCGGGTCGAAATTTTGAGTTTCGATATCTCAGCTCTGGAAGGGTCTAGAGCCTCCATTTTTGCACTCAGGTGTAAGTCTCAGTGCCCTCTATCAGAATCCAGAGTTTCGAGAAGATTGGGGATACTTAATTTTTCGCCCAAAAAAAAAAACGTAAGGGGTAACACTGTCGTTTTTTTTTCGGGTCGAAATTTTGAGTTTCGATATCTCAGCTCTGGAAGGGTCTAGAGCCTCCATTTTTGCACTCAGGTGTAAGTCTCAGTGCCCTCTATCAGAATCCAGAGTTTCGAGAAGATTGGGGATACTTAATTTTTCGCCCAAAAAAAAAAACGTAAGGGGTAACACTGTCGTTTTTTTTTCGGGTCGAAATTTTGAGTTTCGATATCTCAGCTCTGGAAGGGTCTAGAGCCTCCATTTTTGCACTCAGGTGTAAGTCTCAGTGCCCTCTATCAGAATCCAGAGTTTCGAGAAGATTGGGGATACTTAATTTTTCGCCCAAAAAAAAAAACGTAAGGGGTAACACTGTCGTTTTTTTTTCGGGTCGAAATTTTGAGTTTCGATATCTCAGCTCTGGAAGGGTCTAGAGCCTCCATTTTTGCACTCAGGTGTAAGTCTCAGTGCCCTCTATCAGAATCCAGAGTTTCGAGAAGATTGGGGATACTTAATTTTTCGCCCAAAAAAAAAAACGTAAGGGGTAACACTGTCGTTTTTTTTTCGGGTCGAAATTTTGAGTTTCGATATCTCAGCTCTGGAAGGGTCTAGAGCCTCCATTTTTGCACTCAGGTGTAAGTCTCAGTGCCCTCTATCAGAATCCAGAGTTTCGAGAAGATTGGGGATACTTAATTTTTCGCCCAAAAAAAAAAACGTAAGGGGTAACACTGTCGTTTTTTTTTCGGGTCGAAATTTTGAGTTTCGATATCTCAGCTCTGGAAGGGTCTAGAGCCTCCATTTTTGCACTCAGGTGTAAGTCTCAGTGCCCTCTATCAGAATCCAGAGTTTCGAGAAGATTGGGGATACTTAATTTTTCGCCCAAAAAAAAAAACGTAAGGGGTAACACTGTCGTTTTTTTTTCGGGTCGAAATTTTGAGTTTCGATATCTCAGCTCTGGAAGGGTCTAGAGCCTCCATTTTTGCACTCAGGTGTAAGTCTCAGTGCCCTCTATCAGAATCCAGAGTTTCGAGAAGATTGGGGATACTTAATTTTTCGCCCAAAAAAAAAAACGTAAGGGGTAACACTGTCGTTTTTTTTTCGGGTCGAAATTTTGAGTTTCGATATCTCAGCTCTGGAAGGGTCTAGAGCCTCCATTTTTGCACTCAGGTGTAAGTCTCAGTGCCCTCTATCAGAATCCAGAGTTTCGAGAAGATTGGGGATACTTAATTTTTCGCCCAAAAAAAAAAACGTAAGGGGTAACACTGTCGTTTTTTTTTCGGGTCGAAATTTTGAGTTTCGATATCTCAGCTCTGGAAGGGTCTAGAGCCTCCATTTTTGCACTCAGGTGTAAGTCTCAGTGCCCTCTATCAGAATCCAGAGTTTCGAGAAGATTGGGGATACTTAATTTTTCGCCCAAAAAAAAAAACGTAAGGGGTAACACTGTCGTTTTTTTTTCGGGTCGAAATTTTGAGTTTCGATATCTCAGCTCTGGAAGGGTCTAGAGCCTCCATTTTTGCACTCAGGTGTAAGTCTCAGTGCCCTCTATCAGAATCCAGAGTTTCGAGAAGATTGGGGATACTTAATTTTTCGCCCAAAAAAAAAAACGTAAGGGGTAACACTGTCGTTTTTTTTTCGGGTCGAAATTTTGAGTTTCGATATCTCAGCTCTGGAAGGGTCTAGAGCCTCCATTTTTGCACTCAGGTGTAAGTCTCAGTGCCCTCTATCAGAATCCAGAGTTTCGAGAAGATTGGGGATACTTAATTTTTCGCCCAAAAAAAAAAAACGTAAGGGGTAACACTGTCGTTTTTTTTTCGGGTCGAAATTTTGAGTTTCGATATCTCAGCTCTGGAAGGGTCTAGAGCCTCCATTTTTGCACTCAGGTGTAAGTCTCAGTGCCCTCTATCAGAATCCAGAGTTTCGAGAAGATTGGGGATACTTAATTTTTCGCCCAAAAAAAAAAACGTAAGGGGTAACACTGTCGTTTTTTTTTCGGGTCGAAATTTTGAGTTTCGATATCTCAGCTCTGGA